CATAAAGAATAAGTATGATTTGTAATAATATATATGCTAATAATATTGATTTGATCAACATGTTAAAGTTGAACCCCCAAAATATATATAAATGATTATGATTCTATAGAAAAATAAATTGATGTGGAAATATAATTGAGAAACTTTCCAGATTTTAAAAAAAGGCACCCCTAGGGCTAAAGTTTCTTGATTTCTACCCCCCTCTCTCCACCATCATATACTCATCACCATCACCACCAACAAGGCTGGGTTCTTTCCCATTGCCGACTATCTTTGACTCAGCATAAGAATTAGAATTAAGAGAATTTTGCTTGGTCTTATTTTGAAGGTTGTGCTAAAGTTCTTCAGGGCTCCACACTTGGGTCTCACCATGTGGTTGGTGTGGTGGTTCTGACTACTGGCCATTCTGCTTTGCATATATGAGGGTCTCAGTTAATAAGGCCATTGTTTCAGGTCATTTAACATAATTTAGTTTCATTGTCACAGAAATCACCCTGAAACTGGGAAAACTGTGTAACAAATGTTTGCCATCTTGACTCTAGCTTAACAGGGAAAGAAAAATAAAGACAGTATGGAAAGATTAACACGGACTCATAAACATAACTGGAAAACATTAGGCAGCTGGTTTTCTCTGTAATAGTAAGTCAGAACGCTCTGTTGGTTGAGTGTAGGCTTTGGAACCATACAAACTTGGTTGAACCCCAGCTCTGCCACTCAGCAACATGAGTGTAGGCAAGTTACTTATAAACCTTATCTAAGCTGTAGCGCCTCATCTGTAAAACGGGGGAAACAATAGTTTCTGTTCCGTGGGATGTGGTAGTAGGGTTTAAATGAGACAGTGTGTTGGAAGCTCTCACCATAGGGCTTGATGCAAAGCAAACACTCAGTAACATTAGTAATTATTGCCAAGAATGTTGCTTTGGAAAATGTAATTCTTTTTGACAGCATGATATCATGATACGTCAGGTAATTAAACATTAATGGAATGAGTCTTTTTTTTTTTTTTTCAGGTAACAAAAATTCAGCAATATATTCTTTCCTCTTAAGTAATATAGGGGCGGTGTTACACACCAACATTTAGGACAGATATAACTCATGTCCTGGTAATATACAAACTGAGCACAGGCAGACTTACGGGTACTGTTTTTCTATCCATAGGGGAAGAAGAACATCTCGTAAGTTCAAGATCTTTTCTGCTAAATAGTTTCTGAAATTCACTGAGGCATTTCTAGGGAGGTATTTGATAGAACACATAGAAAGAACTGACTGACGTATTATTTCTTCACAGGGGGATTTATGGTGACAATGACTTTTTTTTGCCTTTACAAACGTGATTATGAAAAAAATACTGATAAATTGAACTGATGTCTGTGAGACATTAACACATTCTCTCATTTTTCCATTGTGGTTATGTAGGTGAGACAGGCATTGGCAAATCCACATTGATGGATACTTTATTCAACACCAAATTTGAAAGTGACCCAGCTACTCACAATGAACCAGGAGTCCGGTTAAAAGCCAGAAGTTATGAGCTTCAGGAAAGCAATGTACGGCTGAAGTTAACCATCGTTGACACTGTGGGATTTGGAGACCAGATAAATAAAGATGACAGGTACATCTTGGTATTTTGTGGGATATAAATGGATGACAAGATAGCAGGATCCATCCGGGTGAATTCAAAGGCTAAATGTTTTTGT